ATAAGTGAAAGAGAAAGAGAAGGAGAGAAAGTGTAATAGCATGAAAGTAATAAAAGTGATGGAGCATATCAGGGCTGAAAATTGTTTAAGTTTTTGTAATGCCCGTTTTGATTGATAACAGATGGGTTGAATAGCAGCTAATAGTACCAGTGAAGACGGAGTAACAACGCTTCTAAGCTTTATTTTGAAGCAAATCTCATGTAATTATCGGGAAAGAGGGGCGAGGTGATGAGGGAGGGGGTGAGGGAATTGGAAACAACTCATTCCAGAAAAATAGGCCTAGAAAACTTGCTTCCAGCTATGTCTACATCTGGGCGACTTGGGAATTCCAATACTGGCAGTTCGCAGTAATTCGATGTTGGGCCACTTTATAACTGCTAACGGGCTGGGTTTTGAAAATTGTCCGAATTTTTGAAGGAATTACAGATTGTTACGCTGTGGTACCGAGCTCCGGAGGTGCTGCTTGGCGCGAATCGCTATTCGATGGGTGTGGATATCTGGAGCATTGGATGTATTTTTGCGGAACTGGCAACCAAAAAGGCTCTGTTCCAGGGCGATTCGGAAATTGATCAGATTTTCCGCATATTCAGGCACGTTACCCCACTCTACTGTTTATCACTCTGGTCAACAAGCTGTTCTGCTAGGCACAGTTAAGTTAAAAAAACTGTTTTAGAGTGATGTCAACTCCAACCGAATACTTGTGGCGTGGAGTGAGCGAGCTGCCCGATTACAAGCAAACGTTTCCGCATTGGACGAAAGATCGCCTTGAAGAAGTGGTTGGAAAATACATGGATGCCGAAGGCGTGGGATTGCTGCGGGTATAAAATAGTTTTATTATTCACGCTAACGTTTTTATAAATAGCATGACCATCCAGGCTATTAGGTTGCAGCCTCTATTATTTGATGGTATACCATGTCAGTAATGTTACTGGGATGCTCCTATATACACCAGTGCAACTGTGCCAAACTGCTCGAACGGTGGTTGTATACGTTCAGTTAATACCACCATTTATTATGTTTTTCGTGCTATGTAACAGCATTACAAAACGCATATTGTCACGGGTTATCTGTGTGTGTATGTGTGTGTGTGCGTGGGTGTGTGTATGTGATGTGTGTGTGTTATGTAGGTGTGTATATGTGTGTGTTTGTCCCCGAAGCATCTTGTTCGGTTTGTGTGCCCATCTCCTCATGGGCCGCTCAGTTATCGATTGCTCTCTCGCAAATATCACCCATTAATAAGCGACGACAGCTAGCTGTCGGCACAGCCAGCAGCAACCCATTCATCGATTTTGCTTTCTCACATGGTCGCAATGACATTCTGAACGCTGCCATCTGGTAGAGAGTCTGTTTGCTTATATGTTAATGACGAAATACTCCAAACATCCTTCGTTTCACTCTCTCTCCATCACAGCCAGCACTTGCTCTTCAGCCTTCGTCTACTTTTCGCATGCAACCATCATTGCCTTCAGTGCACTGATCCGAAACTTTAAAGGCGTCCGTTTGTGATAACCGGCAGTATCTTGGGTTTCTTTGGACATCACGATTTTGATAACAACGAGATTTAAAAAGCAAACGCCAAGATTAAAAATGATTGACCAACACATCGACTGGCGGTGCGAAAATGCGTTTTTTGCGCAGCTCCCCGCAGATTTTTGTCGCAAACGGCACTGCTTTTTTTGGCACATGCTTCTTGGTGAAAGAACTGAGACTGGCCCATCATGGCTGTCAGAAAACATCTCCTTAAAACTTCAGCTTTTTAGCTTTTCTGCTTCTCGAGTTAGCAACCTCACTCGCCAAAAATTTTCACGGGCTCGTGTGTTGGAATGAATATCCATTTTGGGGACAGGGCCCGTATATGCGTGTAGATTAAGTTGGCAAAGTTTTGGCCTTATAGCTTTCGTAGGGCTCTAAATGAAAAATCGGTACGACGAACACACAGACATACACATGCGGGCAGCCTCTCGACAATATGCGTTTTTGCATTGCACAGATGCAAAAAACGGGCATCAAATCAATACCGACGGACACACAGACAACCTCTCTGCCATACGCATTTTTGCATTGCATAGATACAAAAAACGGGCATCA